CAGCCATTTCTCTTAGGAGTCTTGGTTTCTTTTAGTAAGAAGTATTATTTACGTACCATAGCCTGGGTGCTAATGGCATTCATCACCACTGGGATGATCACTATTTCTAGGCCTTTTTACTGCACAGAGCCAGCCATTTCTCTTAGGAGTCTTGGTTTCTTTTAGTAAGAAGTATTATTTACGTACCATAGCCTGGGTGCTAATGGCATTCATCACCACTGGGATGATCACTATTTCTAGGCCTTTTTACTGCACAGAGCTTTTTACTGCACATATATATATATAAAAAAGATTAAAAAACATACTAGTACTCCCAACTGAAATTTATATCTATAGGGTTTTTGCTTACTTTAGTATTACAATTCAGTTATTTACTTTACTTTAACATTAATGTATGTCCTTTCTCTCAAAGCCCAGTTCTTAAAGATTCTAAGTGCAATTAATCATTATGTATACCTTATGAACAAATACTTTTAACTGAGTGAAAAATTTTAAGGCAAGCAAAATAGATTTTGTTCATGTCAAAATAGAGACCCAATGCTACATATTTCAAGATTATTACATGCTCACTTGAAAAATATATAGAATAATGGTTGATTTATAAAATATCAAATCAACATTGAGCCTTTCCTAAAATCCATTGGTTTTCTCACCAGTTCTGCAAAATCTGCAGCCTCCAAGTCACTCAATGCTGTGTCTAGTTCCATCTATGTGAAAAGAAAAAAAAAGTAACACAAACCATTTAACTCATATCAGTTATTGTTTAGTAATAGCCTCATAAAAGTGCTTAATAATTAGTTGAAGAATTGAGTAAGTATATTTCTCTTTTGTGATATTTAAGAAATGTCCCCCAATAGAACATATTACTATTAAGCTTTGGAATTACAGAAAAATATTTATTTAACATACATTTTTCAGTTAAATCTCAATTATTATGAGCTTTATTTATTTATTTATTATGGGCTTTAAGATGAGCTTTATTCTATATTCAATGCAAAATAATTTCTGGGGTTAAAAAACTGCTTTCCAGTTTTGAGTTGGAAAATTTTTGAAACTATTAAAATTCTTAAGAGGAAAATAATCCATCTTAATGTACTCAAACTATTTTGAGGGTTTTTTTTCTCCCTTCTATTTCCTATATATTTCTCAGCAGTTAGATTCTTTGAAAATATCAACATTCTTCCCTGTGTCTTTCCTATGTTCTATATAAAAGGACCCTTAATCTTTATTTATGGATTAAAACATGAAGGCAAGCATTCCCCTGGAATCTGGCACAGTTTAGCTTCCCTACAGAGTTATTAGAAAAATCTTACTTAGGATTTAGCTTTTGTTTCTATGGAAATTGCCTGAACTCTTTCATGTATTTGTTCTTCCATGAAGCATTCCAAATTTGAAAACAGAATAAATTTAATCTGTAGTTTAATCTGTAATGCGTATATATAAATTGAAAACTATTGTTAATTAAAGCTTGCATCATATAGGTGATTTGTGGGGAAAAAAAAAAAAGATATCCTTTTTTTTTCTTTTCCTTTTTCTTTTAAAGGCCAAGGCACTCTCTGCAGGACTGTTTCACAAACTGTGTCTTACTGAGATGACTAAAGCTTTGGAAACATTAGTCATGCTTTTCAATACTTTTCACACACTATGACTTATTACTCATTTGTGACTTACATTTTTCTGCATCTAGCAAATATTTCATGTACTCTTTTTTTGGGCTATGGTTTCTCTTGTGAAAAACTAAAGGACAAAAAGAAAAGTATCCACTTGTGAATTTTGATCTCACAAATGTTAATGTTTACAGGTTGCTATTTCCACTACTGAACTCTATAGGCTAATGTACAAAGTTACTAAAATTATTCCTTCACATTCCTTAAGACAACAAGCAAAGTATCTTTTCTCTTAAATTAGTCCAGTGTATTGTAGGAAAAATGACATTTAAAAAAAAAGGAGAACATCTGAACAAACAAAAGCAAAACACACCACATAACTATGATTTCTGAAAAGTATTTTAAGTTTGGAAAATGCTTAAATGTTAAAGTAAGATGAGAGAACTAATTTCTATCTAGAAAGAAGTATTTCTCTTTCTAAGTTCACTGTACTAGATCTCCTACTTCATTAACCAATGGCTTCTTTTAACTCTTACCCACAATCCTGAAAATAACAAAAAGTCTAAAAAAGAGAGAAGATAAAAAATTACAAGGCAACTGGTTCTGATTTTTATTTATGACACCCGAGATTACCTTGATTTCCCGTGGAAGCGTGAGCCATCGAACTCCAGGGAGGCCGTCTAAAAGCACTGCGCTGGAAGCATCATATTGTTGTGCACTCAGACTGGTACCAGAATGTAGTTTAGCAGGGTGAAGCGCTCTTTGAAAGAACAAGTTGAAAAAATGATCCAAACGAGGAACATTCTCAACCTGGCAAAAGGCACTGAAGAAACAAGAGCTGTAAGTCAGAACAACATGTGAAATGGTGGTTATCTTTTACGTGCTCCTAAGGAGACTGGATCTTTCCCAGTTTACATAGGCTTTCTTCCTTACTCCTTTCCCTTATGAAGAATTACTGCTATAATATTACTGATGGAATGTGTTAAGAAGTTCATCCTGTCAATATTTTTTACCCAAAAACTTACTTTCAAGTGTACAGAGTAGATGATATTATGGGAGAACCACAGGGCTAACGCAAATGGTCTATCTAAGACAGAATGAGCTGAAGTACCCTTTTTGTGGGGAAAAAAAAGTAAGTTGCTTTTACCTTATCTCTTAGCCATTTAAACTCCCAATACCATTCAGGCAAGATGGAATAATAAAGAGAGTTAGAGTTTTGTGATAGAACATATCTGACTTTGAATCTTATCACTCACTGCTTTTAGTAGGTAGATATCTCAGGAAAATCATCTAACCTTTCTCTGAACTTTTGTTCCCATCTCTAAAAATGGGGATAATACAACCTGATTCACATGTGTAGTACCTAATACATAAGTACTTATTATACTTATTACTTATTGAATACAGAAAGCACATAATTAGCCTAAGTAATTTTCCCCTCTTCACTAATGAAGGCAACACTATTGAAGAACTCAGAGAGAGGAAGGGGAGACAGACTAAACATTTGTTTTTAGCCATGCAAAAATAATAGAGCATTGCCTGCATCCTTTCATTGGAATAGCCCGCTGGATAATACGATAACTATTATATGTACCGTTAATACATCAGAATAATATTCATGGATTCATTCAACAAACAGCTTAAGTGCCAACTGTGTTCTAGGCACTGTTCTCACTGCTGGAAGTATAGTAGTAAAAATATTAAGACAAAAGACAAGGTCTCTGTTTCCCTGGAGCTCACATTTTAATGGAGAAAGAAAACAAATGAACAAACAGTAAAAACATGAACTTGTACAAAGGGCCATACAGAGAATAGGATCATGTGAATGGGTAATGTGACAGAACAAAAGTTGGGGAAGAGTCTTTGAGAATGGGCATTTAAGCTGAGATCCCAATGTCAAGAAGATCCAGTGAGAGGAAAAAGCACAAAAGCTGACAAACTTGGGCAGGGTACCCACAGAAGAGCACAGAGGGGTGCGTGCGGTTTGCGATCTGAATCAGAAAGGTATGTAGGAGGGGCACCTGGGTGGCTCAGTGGGTTAAGCCTCTGCCTTCAGCTCAGGTCATGATCTCAGGGTCCTGGGATTGAGCCCCACATCGGACTCTCTGCTCAGCAGTGAGCCTGCTTCCTCCTCTCTCTGCCTGCCTCTCTGCCTACTTGTGATCTCTCTTTCTCTCTGTCAAATAAATAAATAAATAAAATCTTTAAAAAAAAAATTATGTAGGAGCCAGATTATAATGTAAAAAGATCATTTTAACTGCAGTTGGAAATTTATTAAAGTGGCAAGGAAACCATTTAGATTACTGTAGTAGTGAGAGATGCTGGTGGCTGGACAGGGTTAACAGTGAAGATGTAAAGAAATGAATGGATTTGAGATATGTTTTAAAGACAGACTGTTTAGAATTTGCTGATGGTTTGGCTAGGAATAGTGAAGGAAACATATCTTTGTCAAAACACTAAATTTTGCGAATATATAATCAATCTTCCGTGCCTTATAGGGAACTAACTAGCTTACAACTTAAAAAAAAGTAAGTCTTTGGACTTTTTAGTCTTATAATTTTTCACAATGTGCTTTTAATATCTTTCATAATTAGAAAAAAACTTATTAAAAATTGCTACAAAATGACTACTAACAGCATCTTGGATCCATACTGCTTCTTGGTCTTAAGAACTCAATGGATCTTCACATTTATTATCTTAGTTTGCCTTTCAAATTCTCACCAGAACAAGAAAAAACTAAAATTTATTGCCAATTTGGTGATACTTCCAAGTAAATGGAAGCTAAATTTCAAAATGAAATTCACAGAAATTAAGTGTCCCCCTGCCCCTAACCTAGTCCACTGCAACTTGCAGAACAACCTTGACTAATTGTCTTAAAGTATGGAATTCATTGCAGAAATTTAATCTTTAATCATCTCTGGTTTTATAAAAATATAAAGCTTTAATTAAGGCAAAACAAAGCAAGGTTTGCTCACCCAGTGTGAATTTAAGGAGGTAGTTTACAACCATATCTTTACTCATCATTGATTAAAAATTTCCTTATTTAACTTAAGGTAAAAGCACTGTTTGTGGTTGCCTTGCCTTTTGTAGTTCACACATTTGGGAAATGCTAATTAGTAATTGGGTTTGAGAGGATTTGTCTCTTCGGAGGCTCTGGGAGGAGAACGCTACAAACTAGGCAATACTGATGACACAGCCACAGAAAATCCTTTCAAGGCTGCTTTGAGAACAGCCACAACAAAGATCCACAATAGAAAGGACAGAGAGCTGACACCACTATGCTTTGGGAAAACATATAAACTGTTTCTGGATTTTTATATTGATATTTTCTTAAGGCTTTGAAAGCAAAGGTATCATTTTAGCTTTCTGAAGTACTGGGACTTAGAAAAATCCCACAAACAGAAAAAATCTATTTTTTATCCATAATTTTATGGGTTCAAATGTCGAAGTTACCTCAAATTGCCTCCTTCAGATCAAGAAAGATGTATCATATTTTACTGTAAGGTTAAAAAAGCAAGAAGCAGAAAAATATGCATAATGTGAGCCCAAATATATTAAAAAAAGAGAGTATGTAGACTGTATTCATATTGTATAGGAAATGTATGAAATAATACACATGAAACTAGCCAATACCTTTTTTACTGTGTCATTTATTTATTAGTGCATTTTTTTTACTAAAAAATTTTTAAGTAAGAAGTGTCAAATTTTAGGATAGTAAATTTGACAATGCTCTTATAAAACCAGAGAAAAACACAAACAACTTATTTAAAACCTTCTTACTCTTTTCTGTATCTGTTTTGAAATGCTCTTACATTTGCTACTATAGAAATATATCAAATCAGAATATAATTGTGGTTTTATCACTATTTCACATTATTTCACTAAACTAACATAAGACCAAAAAAGAAAAAGCAATGGATCAAGTGAAAAACTGCCTAGAACTATAAAATAAAGCCACTAATAAAGAAGGAAAAAATCAGAGGAAGAAGAAAAAAATCAAGTAACTAACTTGCCAATCAAGGAAAAGTATTAAGTGCAAAAGAGATTTAGAATTATATACTTAAAACTTGAGATTCATGTTTTATAAGCATTGATATCTTCATTTTTTTTTATATTTTCTTATTAACTTTTAATTCCAGTATATTTAGCATACAGTGTTATGTTAGTTTCAGGTGTACAACACAGTGATTCAACAATTCCATATATCACCCAGTGCTTATCATGTCAAGTACACTCCTTGATCCCCATCACTTATTTTCCCTATCCCCTCACCTACCACCCCTCTGGTAACCAACAGTTTATTCTCTGTGACTAAAAGTTTTTTTTTTTTAAAAACAAATAAACAAAAACTTGAGATTCAATTCACAGAAGTACTTACCTATCTAAAGAACCATACATAAATTTTAAGGTTTGGACAACATCTTCTATCATATTCCTCAGCTGAGGAAGAGGAACTCTAAAAAAAAGCAAAAATGCATTTATAACATAACCAAATGATACATATTTAAGAGAAGCAGAACATCTTTACATTTTACACGAAAAGAATGTGAGAAGTCTGTGGGTTAAATGCTAGTATAGCTAGTTGTTCATTAAAGACTCCGCTGTCTAGATTTGAAATTCGAGCATGGGTCTAGTAGGGACTTTGATATCACCACCTACAGAAAAAATATTTAAGCCTCTTTAGGGTTTAGTTTCCTAATATATGTCACAGAACCATTATTGCTCACGTTAAATGTTTTGAAGCATACAGGAAACACAGGAGACAAATGAAAATGAAAACACAACGGTCTAAATCTTGGGGATGCAGCAAAAGCTGTTCAAAGAGGGAAGTTTATAGAAATACAGGCCTACCTCAATAAATTTTGAAAAGTATCAAATAAACAACCAAACCTTACCCCAAAGGAGCTAGAAAAAGAACAAAGCCCAAAGGCAATAGAAGGAAAAAAAATAATAAAGATGAGAGAGAAACAATAAAATTTAAAAAAATTTTTAGCCACGCATTCACGATAGATCATATCTCTTTCTGCTGAAATTAGACACCTTTAAAACACAAATGTTTTGCTATTTTTCATTGCAGCCTCCTTTGGAGTTCCTGTTTGTGTTATAAAAACATGTCCACAATTTGGCACTCTTCCCCTCAAGAGGTAGAACTTAATTTCCTTCCCCCTGAGTGTGGGCTGGACTTAGTTAACTCACTTCTAACAAATAGTAAATGAGGAAAATGACTGCATCATTTCTAAGACTAAGTCAACTTCCCCGTTTTCTCTATTTTGAAGAAACCTATCTCTCTATCACTTGCTTTGGGGGAAGTCAGCTGATGTGCTGTGAGAACTTCACTCAAGCAGCTCTAGGGAGAGATCCTTGTGGCAAGGAATTAAGGCCTCCTGACAATGGCCAGGTGTGTAAGTCATGTTGGAAGCAGATGCTCTAGCTCCAGTTCAGCCTTCAGATAACTGTATCCTTGACCAACATTTTGACTGAAACATTAAGACAGATCCTGAGCCAGAATCACCCAGTTAAGTTGCTCATGAATTCCTGATTCACAAGAACACCTATGAGATAATAATGTCTACTGTTTTAAATCCCCAAGTTTTTCATAATTTGATATCCAAGAATAGATAACTAATGCACTGCTATATAATGAAAGAAATCTGGTTAACAAAATTATCAATAATAGAGAATAGTCATATTCATGTTCAGATTGGCTGTATAATGCATTTTTTAAAAAAGATCTTATTTATTTGACAGAAAGAGAGAGACAGTGAGAGAGGGAACACAAGCAGGGGGAGTGGGAGAGGGAGAAGCAGGCTCTCCACTGAGCAGAGAGCCCGATGGAGGGCTTGATCCCAGGAGCCTGGGATCATGACCTGAGCCGAAGGCAGACACTTAATGACTGAGCCACCCAGGTGCCTCTGGATAATGCATTTTTATAATACTTTTTTCTTCCTTGGGAAGCTTAAAAGCAACACCAAAAGAAAAGTTATCTAAACTGGTATTCTCTAAAGTTGTGTCACTCACATATTATAGTATTTATTTTGATATTTGATTACTATTTGGTAGACAATGTATGATTCTGTGGACCAAAAAGTTAAAACTAAAATGCACTTATAGTTTAATAGAAGTTGTCCAATTTTTTTTTAAAGCGGGGAAGGATCTAAATTACAAATTTTTTAAAAAATCACTGAACAGGGACGTAAGACTCATCTAACATTAGTTAAATCCCTCTCCTTGAGGCTGTTGTCCATATTCCTATCCCATTTCCCCACAGCTTTTAATATCTAATGACATCAGGGGAGCAATGTAGAAAGAATTCAGAAAGACTCTCCTTCAATTTGCAATTCTGCTTTTTGCCAGTTATGTGACCTTTGGCAAGTTATTTAATCTTCTCTTAGTTTTACTTTCCTCATTTATAAAATGGGGCCAGAGATCACGAAGTACATCTGGAGCTGATTTTGAAGATTAAATGAGATTAATGAATGTAAAGTACCTAATGCAGTCCCTGGGTTCACAGTGTGCTCATTATAAATGTCAACCCAACTCTTACCTCCAACTATAAAAATAAGATATATTTAAAAATACTTGCAAAAAGTTAAGAAGGAGAAAACAATAATATAAGACATACCATTAGAGACATCACTTTAAAGTTAAATATTTCTTACAGTTGACCCTTAAACAATGCAGGGGCTAGGGGTCCCAATACTCCAGGCAGTTGAAAATTCAAGTACAACTTTTTAACTCCCCCAAAACTTAAATACTAGTAGCTTACTGGTGACTAAAAGCCTTACTGATAATGTAAACAGTTGTTTAACACATACTTTGTACGTTACATGTATTATATACAGTATTCTTACAATACAGTAAGCTAGAGGAAAGAAAAGAAAGAAAATGTTATTAAGAAAACCATAAGAAGAGAAATTGATACCATAAGTTTGTATCATCTGTTTACAAGATGAATCATCCATCTATTTGTTAGTACCTGTGTCAATACTGTCTTACATAATACAAAACACTATAGATGTTACACATGTTACTGACACTAAACATCCAAAATGAAAAGATAATGCTAAAAAGAAATAAAATATTTATTTACAGACAATTCATGCATTCATAACAAAGCAGCAGCAATATGATTTCTTTATGGTAGCCTAATATAATTGACAGCATAGCTTCATGGCAGCCTAACCCATAACACTAGAGAATGAAGCACTGAAATATTTTCAGGGCATGCCATATTATATTCGTAATACAGTACTGGAAACACTGTTAGTTTTTTTCTTAAATCACTTACCTGTGATGGTATACTGATATGCAGTTTTCCCCTATTACAAGAAGGGGAGGCATACTGTATGGTAGTATAATTTTTTTGAAAGAAAGTTATAAAATAGAAAAATAACATATTATTAATTTTATGTTAAATATCAATCACCTTATCTAGGTAAGGACACACTATCCCCTTCCACATGAGTCTTGCACATGGTGTTCTACACAAGCAATACTTAGACGATGATGACGACGACACAGCTCTTGCTGTACAATTATCAGATTTTCACATGAAGACACACACATACACAACAGATAAGTTTATTAGCTACACAGCATGATGATTATCTACTATTCATTCAGTGGAAGTGGGTCATCATAAAGATCTTCACCCCCACCATCTTCATGCTGAGCAGGCTGAGGAGGAGGAGCAGGGGTTGGTCTTGCTGTCTCAGGGGTGGCAGAGGCAGAAGATGTGGAGGTAGAAGGGGAAGCAAGAGAGGCAGGCACACTCAGTGTAACTTTACAGAAATATATGGTAATTTCTCTTTTTCATTTCTCTAAAAACATTCCTATATGGCATCAAACTTTCTTCCACTGTTTGCTTTATTATCAGTGCCCATATCATAGAAGGATCCATGTTGTAAAAGAAGTAAAAAGCAGTCCTGAATAATCAGAATCCTTCTGCCAGATTATCTAGTACCAGTTTTTGAGAGCTTGTTTGGAGGTTCTGGCAGGGGAGCGCAGCTACTCGTATACCCTTGACCGAAGAACGGTCCTCTCCTCTATCGGGGAAGGTCGTCCTCTTCGACCGAGCGCACAGCTTCAGGAGGGACGCACATGGAGCGGTGAGGGAGGAAGGGGACACCCGCCTAGCCAGCCAGATCAGCCGAATCAACCCTGGCGATCAATGGGGTGACAGATGTCGCAGCCAGATCGCCCTCACATCCTCTAGTACCAGTTTTTTTCCGGCAGTCCTTCTTCTATGTCTTCTTCCTCATCATTTAGCACTGGTTCAGAAGTACTCATTTTCATCAAGTCATCTTCTGTTCACCATTCTGGTATGGTGTCTATTAGCTCCTGAATTTCACTAAGATCTCTATCTTGAAACCCTTCACCTCCCGTCTTGCCACCTTGTTTCCATATCCAATACTTGGCATGACTTCCTTGATTAGCTCTTTCATGATTTCCTTGATTGGCTCTGTCATAAATCCTGTGAAGTCATGCACAACATCTGGACACCATTTTCTCCAGAAAGAATTTATTGTTTCTGGCTTGATGGCTTTAATGGCCTTTTCGATAACAACAATGGCATCCTCAGTGGTGTAATCCTTCCAGACTTCCATGTTCTATTAGGGTTCTCTTCTACAGCATTGACAATCCTTTCCATAGGGTACCATGTGTAACAAGCCCTAGAGGCTGAATTAGAGATTGCTGTTTTGGGGGGCAAGTAGACTGACATCTTCAGTGTTGAACTCATGGGGTTCTGGGTGGCCAGGGGCATTGTCCAATAGCAAAAGAATTTTTAAAGGCAAAGTAGTTTCTGATTTTAGGGACAAAGCATCAATGGAACCAATCCAGAAAAAGGGTTTTCAATGTCCAAGACTTCTTGTGGTACAACCCAAAGACTGGTAGCTAATATTATCTGGTGTATCATTTTCCTTCAAGGTTTGGGGTTAATGAGCTTTATAGATAAGGGGAGTCCTGATCATAAACCCGAATGTGTTGGCATAAGAGGGTAGAGTTAGCCTATTCCTTCCTGTCTTAAATCCTGGTGCTCACTTTTCTTCTTTACTAATGTCCTATGCAATATTCCCCCCCCGCCCCAGAATAGGGCAATTTTGTCTGTATTAAAAACCTTGAGGCAGATATTCTTTCTCCTCACTGATTTTCTTAATGGCATCTGGGAACTCATCTGCTGTCTCTTAGCAGAATCTGCTTCTCCTGTTATCTTGACATTTTTAAAGCTAAACCTCCTTGTAAAATTGTCAAGCCACCCTTTGCTGGCATTAAATTCTCCTGCTTTAGAGCCACCTTTTTTTTTTTTTTTTTTTTTGCCTCTAGTTGTCATATAATGACTGCTTTTTCTCAAATCATATTAGAGTCTATAGGTATGCCTTTCTTATAGTAATCCTACACCTACTTTAAGCTGGATTTTCAATACATGATAAAAAGATATTTCACAGAAAGTGCAGTGTTTTTGCACCTGCTGGCATAACTGCAGTGATAACTTCATGAATTTCCTTTTCCTTTTTACAATGGCCTGTACACTGGATTTATTTATCTTGAAATGGCGGGCAACCGCAGGTGCAGACCTCAATGTATAGTACGTATCAAGCAATTCAACTTTTTCTTGTAATGTCATAACTTTCCTCTGCTTCTTGGGAGCACTTCCAGCATTACTAGTAGCACTTCATATGGGTCTCCTGGTGTTATTCAAGGCTTACAGTATTGCACTAAACACAATGAAAAATATGCAAGAACTGTGAGAAATCACCTTTTACTGCAATAAACAATTTACTGGAAAGACAAACTGTTCACACAGAGATGATTAGTGTCATAGGGAGTTTTAAGCAGATAATCATAACACAAGCTCACCGCAACAGCAATAGGAGGTGGCTATGAAATTCTTACAGTAGTACATTATGCACTATAGTTAATTTTATGCAGTTATGATTTAATACTGCATCTTTACTTTATTCACATCTCTCTCAACTGTGAATTGCTCCATTCAAGTGTTTGTATGAGTTTTGATAAATTTTAACTTTTAATAATAGGCTTGTGTATATTTTATGGTAATTATGATGAGACAGACTAGTATCTACATATATTTTATGCATTCATGATATACCTTTTTCTCAATTTTTTCAATATTTCTATGCTATGCAGTTTATCTGCAAGTTTTTTCATATTGTCACAAATCTCCAAAAAATTTTCCAATATAGTTATTGAAAAAAACCCACGCATAAGTGGATCAACGCAATTTGAACCCATGTTCTCCAAGGGTCAACTCTATTTTGTCAAGGGCACTCAATATCAGGGCCAAACACCTTTCTACTTGACCTTTAATTCTCCAAAATCTCCAACAGTAAAAAAACTGCAAACACATAAAATCCATACCACAATCTCGTCAAAAGTTTGAGTAGAGAAGGTCATCTCTCAGCTCCATATTGGCCACATCTCAGAAGGAAGTGTACTGAAAGCCGGGCCCCTAGAAATTGTTTCCAGCACTTTTCTGTTTTGTTTTCAATTAAGTAATGATTTATTTATTTTGAGAGAGAAAGAGAGAGCAAGTGGGGAAGGGCAGAAGGAGAGATAGAGAATCTCAAGCGGGCTCCATGCTCAGTGTAGAGCATGACACACGGATCTATCCCAGGATACTGAGATCATGACCTGAGCCAAAATCAAAATCGAGAGTTGGACGCTTAACTAACTGAGCCACCCAGGTGCCCCTTTTCTGTATTTTTAAATACCAAATTAGCACGGTAGCTATTGTAGTGGTGCAACAGATCTTTAAACTGTAAAACTGAAAGACTTTGCTTTCGCCAAAAATGTCATAATCTTAATGAAACAGACTTTGTTAGAGTATTTCAGAAATGATTTTAAGGTTAAAAAAAAAAAATCTCAACTTACTTTTCAGCAGGCAGGCCAATTAACAACAACTTGTCAGATTCTTTCCAATAAGCCACATGGATTTGTTTCCCATTTAAAAGAAGGGATGAGCTAAGAAAAAGTAGAGTGAAAATAAGTTAGAATATCTTTAAATGTCATAAAATTATAAACAGTCACTCATAAAAGATCACATATAGTATGATTTAAGAACTGCATGCTTAATGAGCAAATTTCTTGGCATATACCTAACTGTCACACAGAAAGGGCAAGTAATTATATAACAACAAAAAATATATTCTGAAATATTTTTTTTAAACCTATAAAAAAGCTCTAGGTCAAACAGCAGTAGACCTCTTACAGCCAAAAGTAGTGAAATTCTTTAATTAACATTAAATGACTATATGCTACATTTTTCAGAAGAAAGCTCCCATTAGTATGCAAATTTAACAAATATTTTCTCACTGCCTATTTATAAACATGATTTATTAAGAGAAATTACAAAAATAGGAAGACACAGTCCCAGCTCACAAGATAATAATTCAATATAGGACATAGGTACATAAGCAAGTAACCAAAATATAAGTCAGATTTAAACATGTTCTCAAAGAAATGCTTAGAATAATGTATATATTCATTGTGGTGATGACTTCACGGTCTATACGCCTCTGTTGAAACTGATCAGATTGTACATTTTACATATATGCAGTTTACTATACTTTAATCAGTTGGAAAACTAAATGTGATCTAAAAAGAGATATATAATGAACTATGAAAACATGGAGAGCATAATGATTCCATCCTGTAGTGTGGGTAGGTAGTAGGAAGAAAATAAAATGAAAATATACTCAGTGATTTTTTTTCTTTAAACTAGAATACATACATCAGTCTATCTGCTGAGTCCTTAGTATTTAATGTACCTTCTATACTGCAATAGATATTATTGTTATTTTTATTATAATCAAATGCATACTATTTGTGAGACATGATATTTTTTCATCTTTCTAACATCCTCTTCAGGCATTACCACCACTGTTTTTTAAAATTGTTAATAATCACTTCTCGGCCTTTTGGCTAAGATCAAGTGTAAAACTGTTGTTAAATTTTTATTTAGATTCCAGTTATTTAACACACAGTGTAATAATAGTATCAGATATACAATGTAGTGATTCAACACTTCCATATACCAGGTGGCTGCTCATCACCTATTTAGCTCATTCCCCTACCCACCTTCCTCCCCACACCAGAAGTTGTTCTCTATAGTTAAGAATTGGTTTCTTTGTTTTGCCTCCCTCTCTCTTTTTATCCTCCCTTTGCTCAACTGTTTTTTTTTTCCTTAAATTTCACATGAATGAAATCAACTGGTATTTGTCTTTCTGACTTATTTTGCTTAGCATAACACTCTCTAGCTCCATCCATGTCATTGCAAAGATAAAGACTTCACTAAAAAAGAGAAATACAGGCCAGTATTCCTGATGAACATGGATGTAAACATTCTCAATAAACTACTGGCAAGCCAGATTCAACAGTACTTTAAAAAAATCATTCCCCATGATTAAGTGGGATTTATTACTGGGTTGCAAGGGTGGGTTCAATATTTGCAAATCAATCAACATTATAAGTCATATTGATAAAAGGATAAGGACCATATCATTTCAATTATAGATACAGAAAAAGTATTTGACAAAATATAACATTCACTCATGAAAAGATTCTCAACAAAGTAGGTTTATTTTATTTATTTATTTTAAAAGATTTTATTTACTTATTTAAGAAAGAGAGAGAGTAAGAGAGAGAGATCACAAACAGGGGCAAAGGGCAGAGGGAGAAGTAGACTCCACACTGAGCAGAGAGCCTGATGCGGGGCTCGATCCCAGGACCCTGGGATCATGACCTGAGCGAAAGGCAGACGCATAACTGACTGAGCCACCCAGGCACCCAACAAAGTAGGTTTGGAGGGAACATATTTCAACAAAATAATGGCCATATATGAGAAACCCACAGCTACTATCATTCTCAATGAGGAAAAAGAGCTTTTCTTGTATGGTCTGGCACACAACAGGGATGTCCACCTTCACCATGGTTATTTAACATAGTAATAAATCCTAGCCTCAACAATCAGACAACAAAAAGAAATAAAAGGCATGCAAATTGACAAAGAAGAAGTAAAACTTTCACTATTTGCAGATGACATTATACTCTGTTTAGAAAACCCCAAAAACTCCACCAAAAACCTGCTATAACTGATACACAAATCTAGTAAAGTCCCAGGATACAAAGTCCCAGGATACAAAATCAACATACAGAAATCTATTGCATTTCTCTACACAAGTAATGAAGCAGCAGCAGGAGAAATTAAAGAATCAATCCCATTTAAAATCATACCAAAAACTGTAAGATACCTAGTAACAAACCCAACCAAAAACGTAAAAGACCTGTACTCTGAAAACTATAGAGCACTGATGAAAGAAATTGAAGGACACAAGAAGTGGGAAGACTTATTCCATGCTCATGGATGGAAAGAACAAATACTATTAAAATGTCTATACTAGGGGGGCGCCTGGGTGGCTCAGTGGGTTAAAGCCTCTGCCTTCAGCTCAGGTCATGATCCCAGCTTCCTGGGATCGAGCCCCGCATCCTGCTCTCTGCTCAGCAGGAAGCCTGCTTCCCCCCACCTCTCTCTGCCTGCCTCTCTGCTTACTTGTGATCTCTATCTGATAAATAAATAAAAAATCTTAAAAAAAAAATGTCTATACTAGGGGTGTCTGGGTAGCTCAGTGGGTTGAGCCTCTGCCTTCGGCTCGGGCCATGATCTCAGGGTCCTGGGATCGAGCCCCACATCGGGCTCTCTGCTCGGCGGAGAGCCTGCTTCCCCCCTACCTCTCTGCCTGCCTCTCTGCCTACTTGTGATCTCTGTATGTCAAATAAATAAATAAAATCTTAAAAAAAAAATGTCTATACTACCCAAAGCAATCTATACATTTAATGCAATACCTACCAAAATACCACCAGCATCAAAATACCACAAAGCTAGAACAACCAATCCTAAAATTGTATGAAATTGTATAAATTGTATAAATTGCATGAAATTGTATAAATTTCATATACAATATGAAATTGTATAAAATAGTATGAAATCCTAAAACTGTATGAAACCACAAAAGACCCCAAATAGCCAGAGCACTCTTGAAAAAGAAAGGCAAAGTGGGAGCCATCATAATTCTGGATTTCAAGCTATATTACAAAGCTGTAGTGATCAAGACAGTATGGTACTGGCACAAAAACAGACACATAGATCAGGGGAACTGAAAAGAAAACTCAGAAATGAACTCACACCTATATGGTCAATTAATCTTCAACAAACAGGAAAGAATATCCAAAAAGAAAAAGACAATCTCTTCAACAAGTGGTGTTGGGAAAACTGGTCAGCTACATGCAAAAGAATGAAACTGGACCATTTTCTTACACCATACACAAAAATAAATTCAAACTGGATTTAAGACCTAAATGTGAGACATGAAACCAATAAAATCCTAGAGGAGAACATAGGCAGTAACTTCTTTGATATTGGCCATAGGAACCTCCTTCCAGATACGTCTCCTAAGGCAAGGGAAACAAAAGCAAAAATAAACTATTGGGACATCATCAAAATTAAAAGCTGCACAGCAAAGGAAACCATCAACAAAAGTAAAAGACAACATTTGGAATGGGAGAAGATATTTGCAAATGACATATCTGATAAAGGGTTGGTATCCAAAATCTTATAAAGAACTTAAAAAATTCAAAGCCCCCAAAATGAATAATCCAAGTAAAAAAGGGACATGAACAGACATTTTTCCCAAAGAAGACATCCAAATGGCCAACAGACACATGAAAAGATGCTCAACATTAATCACCACTAGGGAAATGCAAACCTGAACTACAATGAGGTATCACTTCATACCTGTCAGAATGGTTAATATCAACAATACAAGAAACAGTAAGCGCTGGTGGTCAAAGGGGAACCCTCCTACACTGTTGGTGGGAATGCAAACTGGTGCAGCCGCTCTGGAAAACAATATGGGATATCCTCAAAATATTAAAAATAGAACTACCCCATGATCCAGCAATTGCACTACTAAGTATTTACCCTAAGAATACAAAAACACTAATTCAAAAGGGATACATATACCTTGATATTTATAAGCAGCTTATCTATAATAGCTAAATTTTTTTTAAAAGATTTTATTTATTTATTTGACGGACAGAGATCACAAGTAGGCAGAGAGGCAGGCAGAGAGAGAGGAGGAAAAAGGCTCCCTGCTGAGTAGAGAGCCCAACATGGGGCTTGATCCCAGGGGATCTCAGGGGATCCCAGGTGACCCTGGGATCACAACCCGAGCTGAAGGCAGAGGCTTTAACTCACTAAGCCACCCAAGCACCCCTATAATAGCTAAATTATTGAAAGAGCCCAAATGTCCATTGACTGATGAATGGATAGAAAAGATGTAGTGTGTGTTTGTGTATGTGTATAAATATAAATATATGTATATATATAATGGAATATTACTCAGCTGTAAAAAAAAAAATAAAATCTTGCCATTTGCAATGATGTGGATGGATGGAGCTAGAGAGCATTATGCTAAGTGAAATAAGTTAGAGAAAGACAAATACCATATGATTTTACTCAACACTTCTTTTTAATGCAAAAAAATGTTTTTTAAAGATTTTATTTATTTATTTGACAGAGAGACAGAGAGAATGAGAGAGAGAGAGCATGAGTGGAGAAAGGTCAGTGGGAGAAGCAGATTCCCTGCTGAGTAGGGAACCCGATGCAGGACTCAATCCTGGGGCTCCAAGGTCATGACCTGAGCAAAAGGCAGTCACCCAACCAACTGAGCCACCCAGGTGCCCCTTTTTAATGCAAACTTATACATGAAATGTAGCCTCGGTTACTGTCTTGAAAATGAACCCCATGGTTAAATATAACTTTCATTTAGAAAAAGAAATTCTCCTTCCTATTGTCTTGCCGACCTTATCTTTTAAAATCATACAAGTGTCATTTTTACCAGAAGATGGGAAAAGTTAAAGCCTTAGAAAATCTAATTTTATATTTTATATATTATGGAGCTCTTAAAAAATTTGAGATAAATGCCTATTTTGTAAAGTCTACAATTGTTGAATTAAGGAAGAAAAATGGTTAGTAATCCCATTTATTTATTTAATTTTATTAAAAAGATAAATAAATAAAACTCAAAGGTTTTCAGCATTCTTCCATAAATTAACTGTGGCATTTCAAAGTTAGGGCTTAATAAATGAATGTGGAATGGGATATGTGGCTCTATAACTGACTATATGGTATATTTTGTTTTTCCAAAAAATTATTTCACATAATTCTTGCTTTTCCATCATCGAGTGAACTTGCACAGATGATAACTGCATTCTGACTCTTCTTTTTAAAGTGTATGTGTTTTCTGTATTTTTCTGTCATACTTGTAGAACATGAAAAATTCAGTGTTCAGTCATTCTTGCCAACCACAGAAGTTTTGCCTAGCGAGTTAATAATCAAGACAAAAGCATGAAAAAGCCCAGACTCAATGTAATGCCATGCTTAAGAGATACTACCTTCATGAATAAATTCTAAAATGTAGGTCCATTAGTCCTCCTTTGTGATTTAAAGTGTGCCAAAACACCCAGATTTATAGCTGTATTGAGAACCTACTCCTTTATATAGGTGACTGCTAGAAATAATTTGGGTGAGAAACAAAATACCTATAGATATCATATCTGCTGTATAGATATCTATATTATAGATAGAAATATAATTGTATAATAGATATGCATATCACTATATCATCAGAACCAAGGTACAGCACTTTAAAGAAACAGAATTAAAGCTAAATAAAAATCAATTCTTACCTAGTAACTTGTGTCCCAGTTACATTTTCCAACATGTCACAGAGTGTGAGAAATATCCCTCTCACACTTTTAAGTTTCTGAGATGCATCAGATACTGGACAATGATAAAGAATTTCCTGCTGTTAGATGAAAAGAAATAGAAATGATCAGCCTCCCGTATTTTCCAATCATTATTTTGGTCATGGAAAGTTCAGAATTCACTATTAAGAAAAGAACAAAAAATCAATCTTTTCAGCTTCAAAGGAAGCTTTATTCAAACAAACACAAGGAGGGAAGTATGTCTGGAATTTTAACACATTACCTAGTATTTAAAACACTACTTTTGAAAGTAAGTTACAGACTGTCACAACTGGTCATAATATCAAAATATACACTGAGTAGGACACTGATTAGTTAGAATGGTTATAATTGATTTCACTGTTTAATTAGTTTCATTACTGACATTTAAGAGATGACCTTCGTCATCTTTGGTGAAATCATCATTAAATCTTTATTTTAACCCGAGACAATACTGCAATTAAATTTACAAAGAACACAAAATTAGAGCAGTGCAGATAGAAAGCAGTATTTATGATGTTATAATATCTTATCTGTCTTAAATTTAAGAGGGTTTTCCCACCACAAGTTTATCTGAATTCAAACTTTAAAAGAAACCACATTTTAAATCATAGAAAAAACTAGATCTATATGATAATTCACAAAATGCTTAATATTTTTTTCTTTTCAAAAAGAGCATATTCCCAGGAAACAGTTTTACAAAATAAAATAAATTTCAAAATCAGGATGTGCTTTGGGCTAGAACTTTTACACAAAGGGATGAATCATTCTGTATCTCACTTTTTTTGTTGTGACTTAAAGCAACAAGTTATTTTTCCTCACAAGGCAAACTAAAAGCTGGCAAAATAAAAATTTCTAGATAGAAACTACAGAGAATTCGGAGTAGCTCCCAGTTACGCTATTTAATATTTAACATCCCTAAATATTCATACAGTTACTATTGAGAGCCCAAATTCCTAAAATACATCTTTTCTTCAGTTCTCTAAAGAGTGTCCTATATCGGGGCGCCTGGGTGGCTCAGCAGGTTAAAGCCTCTGCCTTCGGCTCAGGTCATGATCCCAGGGTCCTGGGATCAAGCCCTGCATCGGGCTCTCTGCTCAGCAGGGAGCCTGCTTCCCCCTCTCTCTCTGCCTGCCTCTCTGCCTACTTGTGATCTCTCTCTGTCAAATAAATAAATAAAATCTTAAAAAAAAAAAAAAAAGAGTGTCCTATATCTTGTTTTGGTCCCTCTTTACAATAAATAATTATGTGACTTAGTGTCCATGTCTTGGCAATTTTTACATTAGGATAAATATAAAAAATGATAAACTGGACACATCTTTTTTAATATTACTAAGCAAATTCAGTATATGCAAATTGCTATAGAACATGTTGGCCAAATGCACTCTGCCTAACACTCAAATTTTCTTACAATATTTCTAGGATAAAAAGCTATAAAAAATTTTATCTTTAGAAATGAAGCCAAACATCAGTTAAGATATTCTGTTAATGCTTACTTAATAAATTTAAACCTCGACTAGTAAATACACATTGCATTTAGCCAAACACCAAACACCACTTTAAACAAATAACCTTACAGTCTTTGATTGGATTTTTGATATTTCTAAATCTTGTAAGTGAAGAAGACAAGTTTTTATTAAATATGTAACTCACATGAAAACAAAACAACCCTATGACATTTTATTGTAAAGTAAGTCATACCAGTCAAACAGGTTATTTGAGAAAGTCTCTTTTTTCCAACCCCTGTAGCAACCAGCCCAGAAAGCCTCAGTATTAAGGACCTGGCAAACTCTACAGTTCCTAACCAATTTAATTAGCTGTATTTTTAGGCACTTGTTAGTAGCATGCATTTGCAGCAGCTTCCACTCTGTTCAGTAAGAATAAAAAGCCTCTTCTAATTACAATATTGATATAGGGCTCTCAATAGACAGAAAGCTGTTCATTTGAGAAACATCTACACATTTTCCCATGGAAAGAAAGGCAAAGATGACAAAAGGCTTCGGTGGTATTCTACTCCAAGATGACCTAGAAAGTTTCAGGGTGCTAGCATCCCAGAATTCTGTTGTATGTTTTATATAACAAACAGTTAATTTTCTCATTTACTTTAAGGTATAAAATAAATATATGCAAGAAATCAGAATAATTAACCTTAGGTCTCTTATGTTTTCAGAATACAGAAAACTACAAAAAATACATAGAAGTAAAAAATCCCTTCTTTTCCATTTCAATTATTGACTAAATTTTGATATACAAAGATGCAACACAAAGAAATGCACCCCTTGGAGAAAATGGCTTTGGCAATCAGAATCCGGCCTGTAAGGATTTCAACAGCAAAGAAATGTAAATTAGGTAACAACTTTTACATGGCGCTTCTGCTTGAAGCACTGTGGAACTATGGCTAGAACATAACTTGCTGAACTGCTCGATATGTAAGAAGTGGAGAGGTTTTCTAAGGACGTCTTCTCCATACCCTTTCAATCCCCTTCCTCAGAACTGCAAAGCAAGAGGGCCTTAGCGGGCAGTGGTGAATGGTGGGCAGAGGGACAGAGGGCTGATGCCTACAAGACTGTGAATCAGTACAGAGTATTCTCCTAATGGCTAGGTAGGTAAGCTGAACCTAGGACCACTGTGTTAAACCCAGACTCTTGAGAAAGTCTGAGTACCTTAGGTGAGTGGCAGAAGCAGAAGCAAATTCTCTCTGGAGGAAGGCATTCCTACCTTCTAACCACAGGACTCCCAGAGGTAAAATCAAGTAGTAAGCCTAGTCAGTGATCACCAAGGGCACAAGAAGGCAAACTACCACATGTCAGTTAGGAGTTAGAGATAGTGGAATGGGCAGATACAGAATAGAGAACACAGAATACATATGAAATACTTAGAGAAATGAAGTATAGAATCACAAAGACAAGCAAGCAGCAAGAGACTACCAGGAGTATCATCACAGATTTGAAATGCAGACTAAAGATTTTTCAGGAAATCCTGAAAATAAAAATGATTGTTTAAATAGAAAACACAAGAATGAGATTAAAAACAGTTTGGACATAGCAGAAGAAAGAAATTAAACAAAAAAAATAAATAAATACAAGATTTCTTACAGAGGAATGACTGACAGTAGACTTAACAGCAATTACTGAAATCAGAAGACAAAGGAATACTATCTTCTTTTTTTTTTTTAAGATTTTATTTATTTATTTATTTGACAGAGAGAGACACAGCGAGAGAGGGAACACAAGCAGGGGGAGTGGGAGAGGGAGAAGCAGGCTTCCTGCCGAGCAGAGAGCCTGATGCGGGGCTTGATCCCAGAACCCTGGAATCATGACTCAAGCCCAAGGCAGCTGCCCAACGACTGAGCCACCCAGGCGCCCCAGGAATACTATCTTCAAACAGATTAGAGGAAATAACTTTCTACCATAATGACATAAGCAATACCATGCATTGACTTCATCTTCTCCCTTGCCACACAGGAAAATTGTGTTTTCTTACCTCCTTGAACTGGGAGAGACCATATAACTAGTTGAGGCACTAGAACATGGGCAAAAGTGATGTTACAACTTTTTTTTTTTTAATCATTTGATATACTGTTTATTTTACTTGAATGTAAGTTCTTTTTTTGGTAATTTTATTTTGTTTTTCAGTGTTCCAAGATTCAATGTTAATGAATCACACCAAGTGCTCCATGCGATATGTGCCCTCCTTAACTTTTAAGTTAGAACTCTGAACTGTCTCATGGGATATTAGATGCTTTCTCTCTTCTCTCATTGGTGAACGGGATGCAAATGACCTAATAGAGGACTCCAAAGCCTTTGGGAATCATGGAACCATTAGATGAAGGGCTCCAACCACTAGGCCACATGACCGGGAACATTTATATTAAAATGAGAAATGAACTTCTATTATGTTAAGCCACTGAGACAACAGGGCTGTTACAGAATAGGGCTGGCCTATTCTGACTAATACTATGTAGAATTATAAAACACCTTTCAAGAAGAGGTGAAAAAAACACTATCAGATAAATAACAAAAATAATTTACCATCAAGAGACTTTCACTATAAAGAAATGCCTAAAATATATGTCTTAAGAAGAAGAAAAATGATCAAGTAAGGACAGTCTGAGATGTAAGAAAGAATAGTGAGTAAAGAAAATGCAAGAATATATGCAAATTTAAAAATTCATTTGTATGAAGTATAATGCAAAAAATGTATTTTATAATGTATTACATGTTTTATAATATATAAAATGTAATAATAATTAATAGTAGTAGAACTAGCATAATTACGTCCAATTTCTGGAATTAAAAACATGACAGCAGGGGCACCTGGGTGGCTCAGTGGGTTAAGCCTCTGCCTTCGGCTCAGGTCATGATCTCAGGGTCCTGGGATCGAGCCCCGCATCGGGCTCTCTGCTTAGCAGTGAGCCTGCTTCTCCCTCTCTCTGCCCGCCTCTCTGCCTACTTGTGATCTCTCTCTCTCTCTCTCTGTCAAGTAAATGGGTAAAATCTTTAAAAAAACAAAACAAACAAAAAAAAATGACAACACAGGGCACTTGGGTGGCTCAGTTGGTTAAACATCTGACTCTTGATTTTGGTTCAGGTCATGCTCTCAGGGTCGTGAGACCTGAGCCCCACATTAGGCTCCACACTGTGCATGAAGCCTGCTTAAGAGTCTCTCTCTCCCTTTCCCTTTGCCCCTACCCCCTACTTGTGTGCATGCACGTGTGCTCTCTCTCTCTAAAATAAATAAATATTTTTTAAAAATGATAGCACTAAAATACTCAGGAAAATAGCATGTATGTGAAGAGGGGATAATCTGAATTAAGGTATTCTAAGGGCCTTGAATTATTCTGAAAAAGAGTTAAAGCAGCATTACAGAATCTGCTTAGACAAATGTGATAAAATTTTAAAAGCAATCGCACAAAATAGAGTATATAGCAAACAATGACAGATAAGAAAAATATTATGGAAAAAGTAGTTAAAATAGAAATCTTTAAAGAAGAGGATAGAAAAAATTCAAATATTTCAATAATCTGTATAAATGGACTCATTAAGCTTATCAGTTATAAGACTGCTATGTGTAAGAGACATACCACAACCCTAAAGACACAGAATGACTGAAAAAAGTGCTCATCAATCACTTGAAAGACTATAAAAGGACCTTATTCTTTTCCTTTGCACGTTTGAGAAAGCACTCACCTCCTCCTTTGATGTTTCCGAGTCAAGCTGCAGTGTGAGATACATAACGATGTGAGGAGTGTTTAGGATATTTTGCTGGATACCTTCAACCTCCTCTCCCCACAGAAGTTTGACTAAATCATTTGTGTTCGACTGTGCCTTTTTCTGTCTTGGTTGAGTTGTTTCCTTCTTCACAGCATATGCATTTTCAAAGGTCAGTTTTACCTTTAACAAAACAACAAGTTGATTTTTCAACAGGGAAAGGTCAGTTGCAGTTTTCACAAAGAAGGGTCTGTACATGTATAGACATTTAGGTACACAGAGTATATCTAAAAATCATCCTAGAATATGAGCTCTTTGATGTCAAGGGCTATGTATTTTTTTTTCCTTTTTCTTTTTTTTTTTTTTTTTTGGTTAAAATTTTATTTATTTGACAGAGAGAGAGACAGTGAGAGAAGGAACACAAGCCCCCAGAGGGAGAAGCAGGCTTCCCGCTGAACGGGGATCCAGATCACAAACGGAGAGGAAGGCAGAGGCTTAATGACTGAGCCACCCAGGCACCCCAAGGACTATGTAATCTGCTTACATTTTAATCTCCAGCTCCTAGCCTAGTTTCTGGTACATATTATTACATGTATTTATTGAGTAAGAATTTATAATTCTCTGCACAAAAATTCATTTATTTAAATTTAATCACTGTATTCTAAGATACTGATAACAAAGAAATACTATAGAAAAACAAAAATTCATACAATCTCATAATTCAAAAAGAGGAACACCGTATTATGAATGCTGATAGCTCATCTGGGGAAAGAAAAAAGAAGAAATACAGGATTAAAAGGAACTGCATATAACCAGGTTAGCTGTCCTTTCAAGTGGGGTGATATTCAAATATTTTTCTCTCAGACATTCTTTCTGGTCCTTTAAAATAAAGACCAAGGAGAGAAAAAACTATCAGCATGCTAGATCTGGGACCATGAGCCTGAGAAGATTATAAGTTTTATCAAGATAGTTTTATTTTCATGGCCTGATGTCAGACAAGATTGGTAAGAATCCAGAATGTGACCATTCTCCAATTGTTGAAAGCTAGCTTCCACTTCTCAATTACTTTTACTTGAAAAGGAGATATGTGTCTAGATGCCAGCTGGCCAAAGATAACTTGTTCATTTTAAAGAAGCACCAGTGTGTATCTTGACTAAAAGAAGTTTCAATAGATATAGCTAATTTGGTGTAGTAAAAACATCATCATAAGCTATATAACCACAAAGTATTCCTAACGTTTAAAATCTTATCAGAATACAGAGGAGTAAAATAGGATACCCTAACTATAATAATCCGTAGAGTTCCAAATTTAAACATTAAAGTATAGTGACTCTTTTAAAATTAGATTAAATTTTATTTTTAAAGATTTTATTTATTTGACAGACAGAGATCACAAGTATGCAGAGAGGCAGGCAGAGAGAGTGGGATGGGAAGCAGGCTCCCCACTGAGCAGAGAGCCCGATTCGGGGCTTGATCCCAGGACCCTGGCAGGGGCTTTAACCCACTGAGCTACCCAGGTGCCCCTTAAAATTAGATTAAATTTTAAGTAAAAAAATAAATTCATGTTTGATCAAGAATAAAAAGTCTGTTCAATATGTGTTTGTTAAATCATCACACTGGACACTTTAAAAAATCATGAATAGGGAGCCTGGGTGGCTTAGTGGGTTAAGCCTCCGCCTTCAGCTCAGGTCATGATCTCAGTGTCCTGGGATTGAGCCCCGCATCCCGCTCTCTGCTTGGCGGGGAGCTTGCTTCCCCCTCTCTCTCTGCCTGCCTCTCTGCCCACTTGTGATCTCTGTCAAATAAATAAATAAAAATCTTTTAAAAAAAAATCATGGACGACCTAAATATATACAATTTTTATTTGTTAATCATACCTCAATAGGCTGGGGGTGGGAAATATCTAGCCAATATTTAAAAGCAGATAAAATTGTACACATTAAGTTGCATTTGGGAGGAAAATATTTAGAAGTTAATATCAAGATAGGGGCACGTGGGTGGTTCAGTCTGTTAAGCATCGGACTCCTGATTCTGGCTCAGGTCATGATCTCAGGGTCCTGGGATTGAGCCCCATGTTGGGCTCCATGCTCAGTGGGGAGTCTGCTTGTCTCCCTCTGTCCCTCCCCCGTTAACTCTCTCTCTCAAATAAATAAATCTTTAAAAAGTTATTATCAAGATAGTAATAAATAATCCCTCATTCTTAATATTATTATTTTTTAAAAAGATTTTATTTATTTGACAGAGAAAGAGAGCACACAAGTAGAGGGAGTGGCAGGCTCCCTGGCTGAGCAGGGAGACCGATGTAGGACTCCATCAAAGGACCCTGGAGCCATGACCTGAGCCAAAGGCAGACGATTAACTGACTGAACCACCCAGGCACTCAAGACGTACAATTTTTAAGGCCAACTTTAAATGTGATAAATATTAACATATATAGTCACTTTTTAAAAAAATGAGCTTTATAGGCTTATATTTTATCTTCAAAAATATTAACCATATTATTTTTTTAAAATTTATTCATAATCCCACTACTGTTATACTATAAAATAAATCTGCCCTGATGAATAAAACCTTCCAAAAGACAAATATCTAAATATCTTTTTTTGTCAACAAGGAGGGACTATTTACGGTTGTGTTCAATTTTGCTTATCTGTAGCTATCTGCGGCATCTCAAGGGCACTAAATTATCTTTGTCTACCTAAAGTGAATTAAGTTAAACATCTTTTCTAAAATAAGTCTCAGATTTATTTTATTAACAAATAGAAGAGACATGAGGTCTAAACTCATTAATATGTATATATTCAGAGTAAAGATAAACTAGGTCAAGATCAGTTTCTATAGTAATCTATATAGAAAGTAGGAGGGGAGAAATTCTTCATAAAATTTTCCTGAAGCCTAATGATCATGTTTCTTTACAAAACATGTAATATTCCAAATGGAAAAGCCAACCTTTACTAAATTTTTTATATTTGCTATAAACCTATTGAAAAATAGGTCCTTAATATTACAACACTGTATCAAAAAAGGCTGTATAGAAAATTAGTGCATTTAGGGGGAAATAATAAGCAAACTCAACAAAAATATAAAAAATTAGAGATCCTATATGGGAAAAATCAAGCAAGTTCTGATGAAACTTAATATAAGATTAAGGTGAGAGACTGCTGAAGAGACACTGTTTTAGAAATAGTCTTAGAAGACTGTGAAAAAGAATTTCTTGGTGTGAGGTTTTGACCCAAACAAGCAACAGGTAAGCATTAGATGGCCTGAAAGACCATGTTCTGAGACTTGCATCTGTTCTACACGGCAACGTTCAAAATATGTATATATAAATAGAAATACAAATATAAGCAAAAACATATAAAATCCTTGAAGAAGGACCTCATGAAGTGAACGGCTTGGTGGTTGAGATCAGATAAATAAAAGATAAATAAAAAATAAAAGATAAAATTCTTTTATCTAAGAATGAGAATTTAAGAGTTCCCAGAAGAAAATATATATATGGGTGGTGTTCCTTGGTGGTGGTGTTGAAAATGTGAGAGATCTGAGAATTTGGGGAAATCCTGAACCCAGAGCTATGACAGGTTAGATGGGAGCTCTGAGATTGTCCCCAGGCATGGGCTTTGGTGAGGAAAATATATATGAATGGAGGGAGAAATATGACTGCAGGGAGCATGAGATAAGTAGCATCCTAGGGAAGCAGATGTCACAGAGATAGGCTGACTGGGTCTGTTGGAGTGTCTGTGAGAGCAGTGCATAACAGTGGTAAACAAGGAGAAAGGTGTCTTCGGAGAAAGAAATGTGTCTCAGAACAAGGAGGGCATCTATTCCATTTGAGACTCTTGTGGGTAGAGAGGTCAAGAGACTGGCTGTGACTCACCAAAAATGACAAAAGGAAATGAGGTGGTAAACTCAAAATAAAAGCTCACTAATTTTACTTTAGGCAGCAAAAACAACCTAAAATTTAAGACTAGTTTGTTATGCTTAGTGAAAAATGACATACTTGAAAACTAACTAATGTTATACTTAGCAGACAACTGCACTTCTTTTCTGTGGTGTAAGGGCATTTTCCCCTCACCATGTCAAAAACTCAAATATACATACCACAGAACCATCCATTAAAATTCTTTTAAGGACTATTTTAGCCACCATTCTTCTGATTTAAGTAAAGTTACCTCCATTACGCAAAGATAATTATACTTTAGCAAGACATTTTGAAAAGCTTACATGTTAAGTAGCTTTAAATTTCAGGATATCTGGTTGCCTTGATAAAACAATGGATGAGACAAATAACTAAATTAAGAGTTATGTGCTTTTTTAAAAAAGGGGTCAATATACATAAATATTAAAGATATATTTTATAGAAAACTTTTATTAAGAAACAACTAGGAGGGAGCACCTGGTTGGTTCAGTCGGTTGAGTGTCTGACTCTTGGTTTTGGTTCAAGTCATGATCTCAGGATCATGGGATGGAGTCCCACATCGGGCTCCGTGCTTAGTGCACAGAGTCTCTCTCTCCCTCTGCCCCTCCCCCAGCTTGTGCTCTCTAAATGAATGAATAAATAAAATCTGAGGGGAAAAAAACCCATCTAATATAAAATAGTTTATATGAAACCTCTTATAAAAGGGTTTTCTGTTCCTCCATGGACATTAACCTGTGACATGTTTCATCATTCCTCATTGCCTGTCTCTCTCAAAATGTGTGCGTGTGTGTGTGTGAGTGTATGTGCAATTTTCTCATCCTTTCTTCTTTTCCTTCCAGTTCACGAGATGATGTACCTTTCCTTGGGTCAGAAGACATGCTTGCCATAATTCATCATTTCCAAACTCTTGTTTAATTACTCTTTCTCTACCTCTTCAGCCTCTGTCAAACAAACAAGCAAATTCTTTCTTTCTGTTAGCTACCAAGCCATCCTCTTCACAGATGGGAATCAGGGAGGTTGTCAGAATCTGAAGCAGCTCCAAGAGCTGACCAGTCTCTCACCTCTGCTCACGGGCCTCATGGGATCTCTCTCACAACATCTGCACTGCTATCTGCCCATCTGATCCTTTCTCCTTTGTCTGGCAGATGCTTTGAATATTCCTCAGTCACAGTTCTGAAGAACAGGAGTGTATCTGACAGCAAATTCTCTCTCCTTGATCCTCTTCTGTTTAAGGCAATCTCACTCAAGATGAAATCTGGAAGGCATGTTAGACTTCTCTTTATCCTACAGGAAGCACTATCCTATGCTTCACATTATCTTGAATCTAATCTATTCCTTCCTCCATATCCACAGGCTTTTATCAGCTCTCTTCTGGACTGCTATGAAGCCAGTCACCTGGTTTTCCAACCTCCAGTCCTATTCAGAATGAAATATTCCTAAAATGCAAATCTGATCAGTCAGTCCTCCACTTTAAAATATCCACACAGATGATACTTCTGGGTTCTGAGAATAGAGAAGATTTACATTTTTAAAAAAATTTTGCCAGTCTATTTCCTAATTTTTCCAGGGTTTATATATCACTTTTGTGTAATAAGGAGATAATAAAAGTTAAAACATTCCACCCAACCATCATCTCCTTTAAAAAGACTTTTCCCCCTCTTTTGGGCCTAAGAAATACTTGAGAGGTAAGAGTCCAGGACTAATGTTCTACAGGCTGATCTCCTGTGAAAGGAGTTGGTGGCTTCCTCCAAAGCACCGGGAAAATGAGGTATGGCCCAATGCTTAATGCAATCCACCCTGGTCAACAGCAAAATTTGAACCCAAGCTCCCTGATGAAGCCAGGAATGAGTGGTATATACTATAATATATATAATTGTGTACTTGTTGAATAAATATGAGTGCATAAGAGCTATAGTAGTAAAGGTCACAGTCAACAATCAGAAGGGTACTTGTACCTTTGTTCTTGTCATTTTAAATATTGAAAACCTCTTTTTTTCAAACTCACAACTTCCTATTTAAAAAATTTCAAACCCATGGAAAAGTTGCAATAACATAATAATTACCCATGCATTATTCCTCACCCAGTTTCACCAATTTTTAACATTTTGTCACATTTGCTTTCTCCTTGTCGTCTCTGTCTTACTCCCCTTTCCTTCCATCCTCACCCCTACTTTATATACTCAAAAAAAATTTGGCTGAATCACTTCAGAATTATCTGGTGACATTTTAATGCTTTACTGCTAAATACCTGAGCACATATCTCTTAAGGATAGGGGCTTTCTCCTACACAACCAAATATAATTATCATACTTAGGAATTTGAATATTAAATATAATACTGTTCTCAAAGTCTTTGCCCAAATTTCCCCAATTGTCCCAGTATAGCTGCTACCCACTGCAATCCAGGATCAATTTAGGATTAGCCACTGCATTTAGTTCTATGTCATTTCATTCTGCTTTAGTCTAGAACAATTCTCCAGCCTTTTTTTTCTTTCAAGACAGAGAACATTTTTAGAGAAATCTAAGACAACTATTTTTCCAGAATTTAAAACTTGGCCTTAAAAGAAATTATTTGGTCTTTTTGTACCTCACCTAGCATATAGGCTTCACCTCCGGATTTCATTCTGGTATTCTGAATCTATTTATAACAGAACTTACTTAAAAATCAAGCACAGAACTACAGAGTTGGAATTGGGTTCAGATATATTTGCTCAAATCTCCTCTGATTATAGATGAGAAAACTGAAACCCAGAACAGTCTGGCAACTTGCTCAGAGCAAGGTTTAAAATGGAGCTCTGACCTCATTCTACCACATTACCACATTGCAGATAGCTCCCAGGCCATCTTCTGTCAGATGACAAGAACATTTAGACCATTTTTATACATCAAGCAGAAGTTTAAAATATTGCTGTTAGAGGAGTGCCTGGGTGGCTCAGTCATTAAGCATCTGCCTTCATTTCAGGTCATGATCCCAGGATCCTGGGATCGAGCCCCACATCAGGCTCCCTGCTCAGTGGGAAGGCTGCTTCTCCCTCTCCCACTCCCCCTGCTTATGTTCCCTCTCCCACTGTGTCTCTCTCTGCCAAATAAATAAATCAAATCTTTAAAAAAATAAAATAAAATATTGCTGTTAGATAGTTCCAAATTTACATGTTAAAAAGTCTCCTATGGTATTCTTTATAAATGAACATTCCTCTTCTCTTACTGCTTGAGTAATTGTTTTAGCTGCCATAGATACAAATCAGGTAAAACAACTTTTTCAGGGACAAGTCCACCTCCGTTTGTTCTAGCCCAGCAGGAATGAAGACCCACCCAGGTTGTGTGAGAGATGGAAGGATCATACTCTGAATTCATTTTCAGTTCCTTGAGTTACTAACTCTGCAACCTTGGAGAAACCGTTACATCTCTCTGATTCTTTTTCTTCACATACAAAATAGAAACACAATTATTGGTATCCTACAGATTATTATGAGGAATAAATGAAATCGCTAATCATAAAGGAAATGATATTAGCAAAGCACCAACAAACTGCCTGGTATGTACAAATACTAGTTCTCTTCCCAATTCTACTCCTGTCCTCCCTGAGCCTCCTACGAACTAGTTTATACGGCTGGTAGCGAGAAGCTTATACTTCACACCCCTTTCAACACTAATGATGTAAGAAAAATGTGGCTTACTAATTAAACATTACTTCTAGTTAAAGGAATTTTAACTATGTTTTAAATTATTATTAAAAAGATACGTCATGCTAAAAGCTGGTGCTTGGTTTTGAGTATGACACAGCTATAATACCAATTCTGCTAGCAAAACAAACAAATGCAAACATGTTTATACTCAAGGGTTTAAACTAGAATAAAATATTCCAAAATATTAAACATGAACATCTTCAGGTAATGGGATTTTAAAAGATTTTGTCCCTTACTTCTTCGTATCTTCCTCTTTTTACAATGAACATGTACTACCTTTATAATAAGAAGAAAGTTTATTTTCTTAAATAGAAAAGATTTTAAAAGATTTAAAACCTTAAGAAGATTTTAATAATATACATCTTATGACAGGGTAATATCCTCAAATTAAATGCTGTCAAAATCACTCTGAACTTACATTAGGAAGGCAAGAATGTGCTAGAGTATAACATACTCTCTCAATATGATAAATTCAAACAACTCAAAACAGTTTTTCTTCCACTTTCAAAACAAACTGCTGTTTCTTCATTTAGGCACAAGATGTACATATTGGCATGTAAAAGCCGTGCGCATGCGTGTGTGCGTGTGTGTGTGTGGGTATGTGTATTTAAATACAGAACCACACTTAATGCAGCAAGATGCTCACATTATAAAAGGCAAACTGGGCCAACAGCAGATACACAACTCCTACTTCATACTTAACAAGGACATGTAAATGGTGGGTGGAACTGGACGAAAATATTTAAATCATTATTTCTTCCTCTTTTTTTTTTTTTTAACTTCTGAGTGTGAATAGCTGAATTTGCAAATGTTAATTAAACATAAGTACAATGTGACTCCACTGTAAACATAATTTTTTTTGGAAGATAGAAGAGCCGCGGTTGAACTCTGGCAACACTGGCAGATACCTGCCACTGACAGAGGCAAGAAAGGAGGAGCCCAGACCTGGGAGCTGACATGCGGCCAGTTTACTCCGGTGAAGCTGTTTCATTTGTTAAAATACTGCATTTCTTCATTACTAATGGGTAAGTAATTGCTGTCTGAGCCCCCTGAGGTGCCCTAGTACCCTGGCTCACCCTAGGCCCTCTCCACACCTGACGACCAAAGGGGACAACAGTATACCCTATTTCAGCATTATGTCTGGTGTCTGCCTGATTGTTAGTATTTTCAAACACCGCCTTGTCTCCATCGCCATCTCTATCCATTCCTAGGCGCTGCTGGTCTCTGGCTGCCAAAGTTCTTCAAGCACTTTCATTTTGCATTTCCAAAGATAGCTACTTTTACAGAGCATCCATGTGTGTCTTTGTGTGTTAAGAGAAAGAAGTGAACATAAGCGAGATGTTCTTTCTTAGACAATAAAGAATTTCATCAAGGGTCCTATTATTTCAGAATCTCAAAGCAGATGCAGGAAGATTCTGTTTTATCATGGATTCTCTTCTTCACCCTGATCAATCCAGAAGGTGGTTCATCCTCTCATAGTCTGATGGAGTATCTACCTGTTCAAAGCATATCATCCTCCCTACCCCTCAAAAGAGAAAAAGTGAATTCCCGATACTAACAAGAGCAGAACATTCCTAAATATAAAGTATAGCACTTTCAAAATACATCTCTCTAATGACCTAAAAATGTCATCTACAATACAAAATGTCAATGCTTAGACTATCAAAATAACTATTATGAAAGAGATTTATTTTTACTTACAAGGAATGAGAAATAATACACTAAGTGGCTAAACGAAAGCTCAGGAATAAGGTTAAACAAGATAACGCACACACACACACAAATCAAGAAAATAGTACAATTAGTTTTTAAGAAAAACAAAACCACATTTAAAAAACTTTATAGGAGGGACGCCTGGGTGGCTCAGTTCATTAAGCATCTGCCTTTGGCTCAGGTCATAATCCCAGGGTTCTGGGACCAACTCCCACATCAAGCTCCTTCCTCAGAGAGAGACTGCTTCTCCCTCTGCCTGCTTCTCCCTCTGCTTATGCTCTCTCTCTCTTTTTAACAAATAAATAAACAAAATCTTAAAAAAAATTTTAAAGGAACAGTGATTTTAATAAATCAGAGAAAAGAAAATTCCATGACTGTTTAAAATGACTTGCCTAGGAACTGGATTTTCATCAACATATATAGTAGTTATAATGATAGGTTGGTCATTATATAGTTTTTAAATTATTGTCATTATTCCTGCTTTACACAGGAGGAGTTTTATTTGTAGATATTTCTCTCTTTTTAGAATAATATCCAAAAGCTAAAAATGTTAACAGGAGCTAAAATGTTTTAAATCGTCAAATATTTAAGTATAATTCACGTTATACATGATAATTTTCAGAGTCTTAAAAAAGAAAACAGTAGAAGTTATCTTTATTTTCTGTAATTAATCATAAAATACAAAAGAAAGACTGTTTATACCTGCATAGGTCCAGGAATGCAAGACAGAACTCTCTCTATGTTCTCAGAAGTCACATCAACATCATTCACAGCAACAAGGACATCACCTGAAAACAGAATAACAAAGGTTGTTGTATGAATATTCAAAACCCAAAAAGATCTAGAGTTAGAACATTAAAAAGCATCTATTCCAACCTCTTCAAAGTACTGTGGAACTCATTATATATTATTATACAGCTCATAGCAGCAGAGCTAAGCTCCCACTCCACTCTTATCTTATACTGTAATATAGCCCAACGTTGCACCATAACTAAATACCACCTATGGACATTTAAAGGGATGAATATTCTCATTTTGGATACAACTGAGAGAATTATGTAAACTCAAAGGGCAAATACAAAATTTGTAGCATAAACCAAGTACTGCACTTAGTAAAAGTGAATCTAATCACTTAAACCCACAGTAAAAAACATTTGGCTGAAATTTTAATTAAATCCATGTGGTACATCATAACTCAATATGCTGTGGCTTTCACTGCTATTACTGATCTGTGTCTACACACAGCTCTTTGTTTCAAAGGCCCCAACTATAACAAAATCCACAGCATGTTTTGGTGAAAGTTCCTTTTCCATGGCTTTTTCTTTAAATGGGTATGTTTATCAAATTTGATGGCTTTCATAAAATAAAGATCAGTATTAAAATGGAAATTTACTTTTATAGCATAATTAGAGATAATATCAAAATTCCAGTGAGTTTTATTAATAGAAATATATACATACCAAGGTTATTTTTTATCATTCCTAAACATATCATTAGGAAATGGACCAAATAATTAATATTAATCAAACAGATACTTACTGAGCACCTACTGTATGCCATGTACTGTTCTAGGCACTATAGGTAAACGATGGAACAAAACAGACAAAAACCTCTACTGTCATGGAGCTTTATACCCTGGGGAAGACAGATTATAAACGCGTATATAGATAACAGTGTTGGTAGATGATTCTCCCTCAGTGTTTCATATTTTGTACATCTTGCAAGGTAAGGCACTGAAAGTCCTTGTTCTGGATTATTTTTTCAAGGATGTTTGTGCAGTGAACAGCTTTGGACAACAGAGGTAGTATTGTAGGGAAGAACCATCTGAAAACATGTCTAACAAAGCTCTAAAAGTAGGAGACATACATGTATTGTCATAACAGATATGAAAATTAATTTTAGAGTGAGTGTGGTATAAATAATATTTTAAAATGTTTAGTGGAACATTTTCTCTTTCTATAGCAGAAGTGTTCTACCCACTTCTCATTCTCCCACACATTTACTTCCCTCCAGTTTTTGTCAGCAACTCTGTGACTCAGAAATGGCAGGCTTCCTGGACATCCTATCACTGCAGTGGGCAAAGTTCTTTCTCAGCAAGCACACAGGAGTCCTTAGGACGCCCTGTCAAAGGCTGAAAGGAAATGAACTGCATGAAATTGTTTGAACTGTTAGATAAGAAATGTGAATTACTGATGGAAAGTTTTATCAAGATACATTCAAAAGTCAAAGAAATAGAAAGTGGTGAAATCAGTTTAGCACTGTGCTTAAATCAATTCTTCAATGTAAAATTAATCACTAGAGAAAATCCATCGATGCATTCCAGCATCTACTTAATATCAAGTAAGTACTGAAGGGCACCAAGGGCTATGAAAATATATATGTCAACATTTGTTTACTACTGTATTTATACTATATACAAAATCAATACAGTTTAAGAAATTATTTTTAAAACTATTATACATAAATATAGAAAAAAGAAAAAATATATATGTAAAATGTTGCCTTTGGGTGTACGGGCTTTTTCTTTTTTTGTTTCATTTTCTCAACTGTCTATATTAAACAAATATTACTTTTATAAAAACAAATTAAATCCCTATATTTTAAAAAATATTTTATTTATTTATTTGACAAAGAGAGACAGCAAGGGAGAGAGCACAAGGAGGGGGAGCTGCAATGCGAGAGGGAGAAGCAGGCTCTCACCAAGCAGGGAGCCCGATGTGGGGCTCTTGATCCCAATCATGACCTGAGCCCAAGGTAAACACTTAACTGACTGAGCACCGAGGAGCCCCAAAATTCATTTTACTAAAAAATAAAAACCCATCGTGGTAGGCAGATTAATGGTCCCCTAAAGTTGTCCACACCCTAGTTACTGAAATCTGTGAAAGTTACCTTACATGGCAAAAGGGACTTGACAGATATAATTAAGTTAAGGATGTTCAGATCAGGAGATTATCTAAGTGGCCCAATGTAATCACAGGGTATTTATAAGGCAGGAGGCCTGAGGGTCAGAGTCAGAGAGAGACTTGAAAATGCTACGCTGCTGGCTCTGAAAATGCAGGAAGGGACCGTGAAACAAGGCATTCAAATGGCCTCTGAAAAGCTGGCCAAGGAAAGGGATTTCTACCTTAGAGAATCCATAAGGAACACAGCCCTGTGGATACTTTGACTTTAGTGCAAAAGGACACATTTTAGACTTCTAACTTCCAGAACTGCAAGATGATAAATTTGTGTTGTTTTAAACCACTAAGTTTGTGGTAATTTGTCACAGCAGCAAGAGAAAATGAATACACCTGTCTTAACAATATAAAGCAGTCTTGGCTAACTAAGCACCAAATGAGAATCAGGGACCATGAATGAAGAACAGATCAGAATATATAAAGAGTACAAAGAGGTCATTGGAGAAAAAAACAAATCAGTCTTGTTAGAAGGAGGAATTTATGCACAGAGGACTGGGAAATATGTATGTGCCAATGGGGTGGGATCAGACTGTGAGTTTAAATTGGTCTTTTAAATTAAACTGAATTTGACTTCAGGGGAAGAAAATCTGGCTTCTGAAACATAGTTACCATACTGCGGTTTTATACATTCAAGTTAATGCATTTACTGTCAAGACATTTACCGAAAAATTCTTAAATTCTGAGAGAATTACCTTCATTATGTATTTTTTGAGCTCCAATATCAATCTCTCATTTATAATATGCAGGCATAAGCAGAAAATTAAGGTCTCTCCTAACCTATTATTCTAGAAATCCTTGAGTAATGGTGTCTCATATATTGTAATAATCACTCAGGGGCGCCTGGGTGGCTCAGTGGGTTAAAGCCTCTGCCTTCGGCTCGGGTCATGATCCCAGGGTCCTGGGATCGAGCCCCACATCGGGCTCTCTGCTCAGCGGGGAGCCTGCTTCCTCCTCTCTTTCTGCCTGTCTCTCTACCTACTTGTGAAATCACTGTCAAATCTGTCAAATGAATAAAAAAAAAAAAAATCTTTAAAAAAAAAAATATTTGATTAAGAAAAGATCACATTCCCTAATGTTGCCTGATAAGAAACTGGTGCAAAGTTTTTATTTCTCATTAAAATAGAAGTAATACTACAGAAATGTTGAAAAAATTATTGATGACTCCAGCACTCATAGCCATAATTATTTTCACAAATTATTTTTAGTCTTTACTTATATTGACACTAACAAGGTATAAAGGAATTTCATCCTTTTAAACCTCTCAAGTATTAAGAATTTTTATGTTGGTATACAGTGTTTAGATTACTATTTTAATAGTCAAATAATGCATACATTTATTAAATTATAATTAAAATAATCATCCTCCAGTTTGATATTTTCATGCTTTTTATTTTTTATTCTTAAAAAATGCTTACATAAATGTCTTCATGCACATAGTTTTCCTTCTTTTACATCTGGGATGAGCAAACTTTCTATAAAGGACCAGATAAGTAAATATTTCAGGCTCTGCACGCCATATGGTTTTTGTTGCAGCAACTAACTACTCTACTCCGCAACTGTAGCTTGAAAGCGGCAATAGACAATAAACACATGAATATGCCTGTGTTCCATACAATTTTATTTATGAACACTAACATGTGAATTTCACATAATTTTCATATATAATAAAATATTGTTCTTTTGATTTTATTTTTTAATCACTGAAAAGGTAAAAACCATTCTCAGTTTTCAGACTACAAAAATGAGTGGTAGGCCTGATATGACCTACAGGTCATGGTTTACAGATCTGTTTTAGATTATTTCGTTTGGATAAGTGTCTCAAAATGGATAAAATGGGTTAGGTGGTATACATTGTTGTAGCTTAATCCTTATTTCCAAATTACATTTTGAAAGGATAAAATTATTTCTTTTCTTTTTGGCTCCAAAGAGAAATCCTTCAGCATTTCCCCCACCCATTCAAGTGAGCACCACAGCAAGTGAGAGTTTTGTGAATAGAAATCAGAACTTTAGGTCCCAGCTTTATCACTGCCCTCTTGTTCTTGGGTAAATCACATAATCCTTCTGGTACTCAGCTGTAGAAGGAAGTAACTGCCCCAGAAACTCTCTAGGAAGGCCTAAAAACTCTAATTTTATCTTTCCAGTGAAATCACTGCTTGTTTCTTTCCTTTACTACTGGGTCCAGTACCACAAGTAAAAACGTGGGAAAGAAATGATGTGAGGGAGAAGAGACAGACAAACACAGCAGAGTTACTTTTGTTAACAAAGCTGAAAACTGGGGCACCTGGGTGGCTCAGTTGTTTAAGTGTGTGACTCTTGGTTTCAGCTCAGGTCATGATCTTGGGGTTGTGAATTGAACCCCGTGTCAGGCTCTATGCTCAGCTCAGAGTCAGCTTTTTTCTCTGTCCCTCTCCCTCAGACCCTCCCTCAGCTTGCTCTCACACACTCTCTCTAAAATAAACAAATAAATCTTAAAAAAAAAAAGGTGGGGAGAAATTGAAATGTTTCAAGTATTACAGAAAGTGAAAATAAAAATGTGTATCAAAAAACAACATGTAGGGGCGCCTGGGTGGCTCAGTGGGTTAAGCCGCTGCCTTCGGCTCAGGTCATGATCTCAGGGTCCTGGGATCGAGTCCCGCATCGGGCTCTCTGCTCAGCAAGAAGCCTGCTTCCTCCTCTCTCTCTCTCTCTCTGCCTGCCTCTCCGTCTACTTGTGATCTCTCTCTGTCAAATAAATAAATAAAATCTTTAAAAAAAAAGAAACATGTAAAATACTAGAGAATAAAACCATTAGGTGTTCACAAAAAAACCAAACCTATATTTTAAAAAAAGCACTTAAAATGTTTTTACTGGAAACATCCATCAACAGTGAAATGGAAAAATGAATATACAATGGAATACTACATAGCAATAACCTGGATATTTCTTACATATTATAAAATAAAGAAAATAAATGAAAGAGAATATACACTACAGACTTCTATTAAACGAAGTTTGAGAAGTGGTAAAATTAAAAAGAAGAAGGAAGAGGAGGAGAAAAAGTCAGCTCTGTTGATAGAAAAGTGGATTTTCAGAAGGGAGAGGGTATTAACTAGGAGGAGGCACCATGGAGCCTTCTGGGTACTGGAAATGTTCTCTATCTTGATCTGGGTGGTAGTTACACAACTATATACATACATCAAAATTCGCTGAGTGCACACTTAAGATTTGTCTATGTTATCAACGTATGATATACCTCAAAAAGATTTTTAAAAAGATTAAAAAAAAAACTTCAAAAAATTTAAAAGAGAAATAGCACAAGTGTGTCATACAAAACAAAGTTATTCAATGATCACAGGTGAGAAGATTAGAAGTCACACAAAAAGTACTTAAAATAAAAACTTTGTTTTATTGTTGAGCAGAAACTTTCTACAGGGGTATGCGTGTTTAGAACATTAATGTGTGATTTCTTTAACCCTATCCTTTCCATCCTTAAAATACACCTGGTTAAAATGAGCAAAAATGGGTCATCTTGATAAAAAAAAAATCACCAAGGTGATATGCAGTTTCTAGGATGCAGGTCAGAAGGGGATTTGCTTTGGTCTATGGATGGAGGCTGGCTACAGGTAGTCAGGAAGCAAAGAACTGTCGCTTTTTTTTTTTTTTTTTTTTAAGATTTATTTATTTGAGAGAGAGTGAGAGAGAGAAAGCACATGTGCTCACATGCATGGTGGTGGGGAGGAGCAAGGAGTGTCAGAGTGAGGAGGCGAGAATCTTAAGCTGGCTCCAGGCCCAGCAGGGAGCCCAACACTGGACTTGAACTCCCTACCCTGAGATCATGACCGGAGCCCAAATCAAGAGTCCACCACTTAACTGACTGAGCCACCGTGGATAGTGGTCAAACTTTAAGAAAAACTCAGAAATTAAAAAATAAAGACACAAGTCAGCAGTAAGAACAAAAATGGCACCAGAACATGCAGCAACCCCCCCCCCAAATCCCAGCAAAGAAGAATCAGAATAGAATAGAGTTGTGTTGGCCAATGCACTTAAGTCAAAGGAGGGTCATTCTCCAGCTAGACAATGGCAGAAGTCACCCCAGCAAACTGCATTACCAGGACAAAGTTTTTAAGACTCTCCTGCCTATGGGATTACATCACAGTTCAACCACAGATTTCAGTATAAAATGAAACTATGAAAGAAACAAATAACAAAGTTCCATGCTGTGGAATTATTAAAGTCACAATGACATCAAAAACGTCCATTAGGGCGTCTGGGTGGCTCAGTTGGTTAAGTGTCTGCCATTGGCTCAGGTTGTGATCTTAGGGTCCTGGGACTGAGTTCCTAGTCGGGCTCCCTGTTCAGCACAAGCCTGTTCCTCCCTCTGACTACCCTCCCCCCAGCTCTTACACCTGCACGTGTGCACTCTCCCTCTCTCTTAATAAGAAAGTAAATAAGTAAAATCTTTTAAAAAATTGTTCATTATTTATCCCCAAGTATACAACTTTAAAAATATACAATATCACCATAAAATTAAAACTCTGAAAAAGAGAAAACAAACCACCTATAACATCTTCACACAAACCCTACCAGCATTTTGGTGTCTTTATATTTACTTCCAATTGTTTTCCCTCCATAGTATTTTTCTACATAGTTTGTGCATTTATTCAATAAACGTTTTTGAGGGCTTATTAAAAACCAAGCATTTTGCTATGCACCAAGGATGAAATAATCATTTTATTTTGACATATCTTTTTTTTTTACTTATTGGTAAATCATAAACTCTTCCATTATGAAACTGAAATCATGAACTTCATTTTTCTGCCTTTTCATTGCTATTCATACACATGCAGAAAAGTGCACACACAGTAGTACTACAACAATAAATTATCAAAAAGTGAACATACCTACATAACCACACTCGGGTTAAAAAGTATACTACCAGCCTCCTGTGTATCTTTAAATTATTTTCAAGATAAACAACAGGACTACGTAGCACGTTCTTCCTCTCTACATAGTTCATTTTCTTTCCTTCCATAGAGATGGTGCAAAAAGATCAGGTCTAGGTAAGTAGCATTCCTAGAAGGTTCAGCAGACTGGAGGATCAGGGGAAAGGAAACATGGAACGGGATGCTCACTGACCATAACCACCTCTCTATTAGGTTTCAAGAGGAATGGCTAAAAAGCATTTCAGAGATTTGTCTACAAATCAGTCCAATTAGGTCCTGAGCAGAGGCCCCAGATAAATATAGGAGTTTCCCATCATGTGCTGTCTTAAAACTATGGTGTTTGGCAACAACCAGACAAGACTTCATAAGCATGAATTATGGCATGGAACAAAAAGAATAAACAGAATGGAACAAAAAGAATAAAAAGAATAAACCTTAGAGACATTTTACCAAAAAGGAAGTTGAGCACCTGAGAGAATGTAAGCACGCATTAGCTTCTGTTCCAGCTATCTGTTGCTGCGTAACAAATTTAGAGTTTAAAACAGCAAACACAATTTGTTATCCTTCCTGGTTCTGGGATTGACTGGGCTTAGCTGAGGTTCAAACTCAGGGTTCCCCATGTGGTTGCACCTAGATGGTGGTTGGGGCTGGAATTTTCTGTAAGGCTTCTTCACTCATTTGTAGTAGCTGATGCTGCAGGGTGGCTGAGGCCTCAGCTGGGGGTGATTAGCCAGAATAGTACTTGTGGCCTCTTCATGTGGACCAGCCTTGCTCACACAATGGCAACTGGATTCCAAGAATATTAGGCAGAAGCTGCATCACCTTTTATGATCCCACCTCTGAAATCACATAGTACTACTTAAGCTGTGGTTCAGGCCCACAGGGGTAGGGAAGGGAGGACACAAAAACTTAACTTAAAACTTGGGAGGAGTACCAACATTACATTGTAAGAAGAGAATGTGGAGATCTTGCTGCAATCATTAGGATAGATTGCATAGATGCTCTTCCTATGTGATTCGTTCTTGTAAACCCTATCATGACACTTATCAAATGATGTGAAAGTTATCATACTATGTGAAACTATCATACTATGTGAAACCCTATCATGACACTTATCATACTATGTGAAACTGCCTATTTCTGACCCACCTCTTGCACTGCAGTACGAGCCTCTTAAGAGGAGTAAATGGATCCTTAGAATAATATTTGTATTCCTGACAGCAGATACTCAAAAATTTTGTGGAATCAATGAACAAACAAATACAATTTAGACTTAAAGAAATATTTTTAAATGTTTCTAAGGTAGCTATAAAAGTTCCTATATCTAGGGTCGCCTGGGTGGCTCAGTGGGTTAAAGCCTCTGCCTTTGGCTCAGGTCATGATCCCAGGGTCCTGGGATCGAGCCCCGAATCGGGCTCTCCACTCAGCGGGGAGCCTGCTTCCTCCTCTCTTAACTCTGCCTGACTGTCTGCCTACTTGTGATCTCTGTCTGTCAAAGAAATAAAATCTTTAAAATAAAAAAAAAAGTTCCTATATCTAAATCTTACAGGCTGAGTCAACTTAAAAGACTGTCAGCTTTTAGATTTGTTAATAAATTTTAAGTTTCATTAATAACATATTCTCACATTTGACATAGCTTTTACCTAATAAAATTACTAGTAACTCAAGCATTATATCCAACAGCTGAAAATGTATCAGCAATACAAAATGCTCACCTTAATATATATTCAGAATAACTTTCAGATGTATTTTTTAACCTTTAAATTGATAAGAGATTTTATGACAACCACCCTTAAGAGGAAATTTATGTATAACATTACTGTTGCTAAATATGCCAAACAAAACAGTTTAAAAACCACTCTCAAGAACTTAGTGTACTCAAGTACAAACACACAATGTAAAAGTATTTTTGTTCATAAATTACATATTTTTATATCACGCTATTGGATATAGGTCATTCAAATCGAAATTATCACTGTAAAATTAACTTATTTTCTTTTTCTTGTCACAAATATAAGCAAGATGAAATAAAATGATAAATTCAAAACTCAACAATTAGTTAAGCTATTCCTTGGCCTAAATGAGGCACACACATATTCAGTCCCCAAAGTACTTATTCTAAGAGCATTATGCCTTGTAGTAAGTACACCATGCCTAACAATGTTGCTACTGTCCCAAATGTCATCACGCAGTCCTTAATCTGTTGAGACTTTGGATATAATTCTGTTTTGATCACGTCTCACAAGGCATCACTAATCATGAATCTCTGCAAACAAAAACTGATGTTTACCAGCAACACTTACCAATTAATATCTGACCACTCTTCATAGCAGAGCCTCCTGGCAGCAGGCCATGGACCACAAGCCTCTCTCCACTGCCCTGTTTTCCACTTTTTTTCCAGCTCCACTTGGTCTGATGGATAATCCCAACCAGGACTTCCAGAAGCTTAAGTTGCTCTTTGGCTTTGGTCACAGTTAACTTTTTGGGGTTTACATAAATATTCACATCCTTGTACCGCTGTTGGACAACAACTCCTGTTTTCTGGTTAGACTGATGCTTTAGAATGGACACTGGCTCACTGCCATTACTACTTTTTTTATTGTGGCGCTTGGGTAAAAGACTTTTACTTTTTAAAATTTTGGTAAACCGCTTGAGTTTAGGTTCATACTTTTTTCCTTCTTTGTAATCATCCTCTTCAATTATAATCTCATTTTCACTGAACCTGACATGGTTCACAGTAGGAGTCTCAGGAAGGAGGCTTTCTTCTTCACCCTCACTCAATTCCAAATAAAATAATTCTCCATTTTTCTGCACGCTGTCCAACCATTCAGGTTCAACATCACTGTGAAAAATAGAAAAGATACTCTGAATAGGAGCCAAACAAAAGAAAAATAGTTATGTCTTTCGGGCACCAGGTGTGCAGGGAGGTGGGAGGAGATGGAAGTTCTTTGATTGTTCAAGTTTCCTTACTATTTCTGATTTATGATAAGCATCAACATTATTTTCTAGGACACTTCTTAAGAGTCTTCAAGAAATGGAGTTGGAGGAGAGGGTTAAAAAAGTATAGTGATAGAAAAGAAAACAAATAAAAAAGGAGATAGCCTTCTTCTAGAATCTAAGGGTAGATTTTTTTTTTTTAAATTTTAGTTCAGCCCCTGTAAGGTTATTGCTCACTTCAGACAATTTCATTGGACAATAATTTACATTAATAGTTGATTGTGCAATTATATCCAGACATAAGCCATTTGGAAACTGGACATCAAACATCCTATTTGCATAAAACTATTCAGCATGGCTGTCACGTTAAAATGAAAGCTAAAGCCCATCATTATTAGTAAGATTTGTTTATACAATAACTTTTCAAAAGATAAACATTCACCTTACCATAAACTAAAATCTTCATTTAAAACAGCTAGTTTATAATCACAGTTAATAATGATTGCTTCTATAGCTTATAATTTCCATAAAACTCCTTTTTATGAATAATTATAGTAAGAAAAATAAACCACATATTACATAATTCATCATGTGATTGTTAAAAAAAAAACTTTTAACTGGGAAATAGGCCATTGAAAAAAATAAAAGTTCTGCTATTAAAAGGACTGAAACAGCATTAAAAAACAACATGCCCATCTTAAGGTAACAAACCTATCACAAACTCCACCCTGCCCCTGCCTATTTAATGTTACAAACACTGTACCTTTCAAACTGTTATTTTTTTAAAGCAAAACTGGTTACAGTGGAAAATATGTTGAGAGAGTCAGAAACATCAACTGCAGTATTCTTATGTAAAAGGGTATAATTTGTGTTCTAATCATTCCATCAAATAGAAGATATTTCTGTTTTCTGCAGTGTTTACTAGCAACTCCAGCTCTTTTTTTTAACTTAAAAGTCAACTGTCTCTCTAGGGGTGCTTGGATGACTCAGTTAAGCATCTGACGCTTGAATTTGGCTCAGCTCATGATCTCAGGGTCATGAGATCCAGCCCCATGTCGGCTCTGTGCTGGTGCTGGCTCTGCACCAGGCTTGGAGCCTGCTTAAATTCTCTCTTCTCCTCTCCCTCCTCTGTCCATCCCCTCCACCTCATGAGCACAAGTGCGTGTGCGCACGCGCGCGCGCTCGCGCTCTCTCTCTCTCTCTCTCTCTCTCTCGCCCTCTCAAAAAAAAAAAAAAAAAAAGGCAACTGTCTCCAAAAACTGTGAAAGTTAATTGTAAAAAAAGGCACCATTCTATTACTCAACTCTGAAATTAACCACCAATCTCATCTGTGGTTGGCAATTAATACAGAATTTTCAACTACATATTAATTGTTAAAAAAGGCATACCTAGCCCCAAATATCAAAACTAGTATTTCTTTGGCACTTGTTGGGTCCCAAAGTGGGGCATCATTTTAGAACCACTTAGCAACAGGTATTAACCCTTTATCAGATGTTCCAACCATATTCATCTGTACCCACAGAAATCAGTATTTAATAACTCTGTAATTCTACTCTGAAGAATTCTAAGTAACTGCCTCCAATCATAAAAAATTTAGATAAATATGTACCATAGTTTAAAATGACACAATGTACATATCATGATTATACACAACTACTTACAAAGATAAGTATCAATTTAAACATGAATGAAACTATTTGCTTCATAATCTCTTTATTTGTATTAGAAATGTGACCCCAAAGAAATACTTTTTCTCCTATGCTAAACATGAAGATGTTTCATCTTAATCTCTAAAATTTGAAAGAGAAAACATTTTTTGGCTATGACTGGAAGATCTCTGCAGGTAAGGGGAGGACACAGGATATTCAATCATGGAGCAAATGAACAGTGCCAGGTCCTTGGAAGGTACTAGAATTGTAATGATTAAAACATCAGTCCTTCCCTTGTCTAATGGGGAAGAGAAAGTGAGAAAGAATTCACAACAATACACACTGTATGCAAAATAGAGGTCCCCTAGTTTAGCCTGGGATTGACAGCAACGGCAGGGAAAATTTCTGGTAGAGGATATACAGAAGTAAGTTTTAAGAGAGTAAGTGGCTGGTGATGGGATATGGGGGGCTCAAGGGGAAGAGGAAAAGACAATTCCAAGCAGAAACAACAGCATAAGCAGAGGCCTTGAGGGACTGTCTCTATGCCGATGTGGACAACTAAAACCAGTCTGGCCTATGTGGACAACTAAAGAAAGAACATACCTCAACATCATATAGGCCATATATGAAAAACCCACAGCTAATATTATCCTTAAAGGAGGAAAACAGAGTTTTTCTTCTAAGGTCAGGAACAAGACATGGGTGTCTACTCCCACCACTGTTATTTAACACAGTATGGATGTCCTAGCCTCAGCAATCAGACATAAAAAGATATAAAGGGCAATTGGCAAAGAAGAAGTGAAACTTTCACCATTTGCAGACATGTTACTCTATGTAGAAAACCCTAAAGACTCCACCAAAAAATTGCTACAACTGATATACAAATTCAGTAAGGTTACAGGATACAAAAATCAACCTACAGAAATCTGTTGAATTTTCTACACCAATAATGAAGCAGCAGAAGAAATTAAGGAATCGATCCCATTTACAATTATACCAAAAACCAAAGATAATTAGGAATAAACCTAACCACAGAGGTAAAAGATCTGTACTCTGAAAACTATTAAACAATGATGAAAGAAATTAAAGATGACACAAAGAAATGGAAAAACATTCCATGCTCATGGATGGAAAAACAGATATTGTTAAACTGTCCATGGTACCCAAAGCAATCTACACATTCAATGCAATCCCAATCAAAATACCACCAGCATTTTTCACAGAGCTAGAACAATCAATCCTAAAATTGTATGAAACCACAAAAGACCCCAAATAGCCAGAGCAATCTTGAAAAAGAAAGGCAAAGCTGGTGACATTACAATTCCAGATTTTGAGTTATATTACAAAGCGATAGTGATCCAGACAGTATGGTACTGGTGGAAAAACAGACACATTGATCAATGGAAAGAGCAGAAAACCCAGAAATGGACTCACAACTATAAGGTCAACTTATCTTCAACAAAGCAGGAAAGAATATCCAATGGAAAAAAGACAGTCTCTTCAACAAATGGTGGTGGGAAAACTGGACAGCTATGAGCAGAAGAAAGAAACTAAACCACTTTCTTACATCACACATAAAAATAAATTCAAAATGGATGAAAGACCTAATGGATGAAAGACCTAAATCAGATCTGAAATCTTAAAAATCCTAGAACACAGGCGTAACTTCTCTGACATTGGCTGTAGATACTTTTTTCTAGACAGGTCTCCCGAGGCAAGGGAAATAAAAGCAAAAATGAACTATTGGGACTAGGTCAAAATAAAAAGCTTCTTCACAGCAAAGAAAACCATCAATAAAACTAAAAGACAACCTTCAGAATGGGAGAATAAATTTTTAAATGACACATCTGATAAAGGATTAGTATCCAAAATCTTAAAGAACTTATCAAATTCAACACCCAAAAAACTAATAATCCAGTTAAGAAAAGGGCAGAAGACAAGACCAGACATTTTCCCAAAGAAGACATACAGATGGCCAATAGACATATAAAAAGATGCTCAACATCACTCATCATCAGAGAAATACAAATCCAAATCACATGAGATACCACCTCACAACTGTCAGAATGGCTAAAATTAGGGCGCCTGGGTGGCTCAGTGGGTTAAGCCGCTGCCTTCGGCTCAGGTCATGATCTCGGAGTCCTGGGATCGAGTCCCGCATCGGGCTCTCTGCTCAGCGGGGAGCCTGCTTCCTCCTCTCTCTCTGCCTGCCTCTCTGCCTACTTGTGATCGCTCTGTCAAATAAATAAATAAAATCTTTAAAAAAAAATAAAACTACCATATGATCCAATTGCAGTACTAGGTATTTACCTAAAGGATACAAAAACACTGATTCAAAGGGATACATGCACCCTGATGCTTACAGCAGCATTATCAATAATACCCAAAATACGGAAGCAGCCAAGTGTTCATCAACTGATGAATGGATAAAGAAGAGGTAACACACACACACACACACACACACACACACACACACAATGGAATATTATTCAGCCATAAAAAATAATGAAATCTTGCCATTTACAATGATGTGGATGGAGCTAGAGAGTATTGTGCTAAGGGAAATAAGTCAGTCAGAGAAAGACAAATACCATGTGATTTCACTCGTAGGTGTGATTTAAGAAACAAACAGATGAATGTTGGGGGGAGAAAGAGAGGCAAACCATAAAACAGACTCTTTTTTAAAATTTTATTTATTTACTTGACACAGAAAGAGAGCACAAGAGGGGGAGCAGAAGAAGAAGAAGCAGGCTCCCCGCTGAGCAGGGAGCCCAATGTGGTGCTTGATCCCAGGACCCTGAGATCATGACCTGAGCTGAAGGGAGACGTTTAACCAACTGAGCCACCCTGGTGCCCCGAAAACAGATTCTTAATTATAGAGAACAGACAGACATGTTGGGGGTGGAGTGGGTGGGGAGGGACTAAATAGGTGATGGGCATTAAGGAGGGCATTTGTTGTGATGTGCACTGGGTGTGGTATGTAAATGATGAATCACTAAATTATTTTCCTGAAACTAATATTACTGTATTTTAATTAACTGGAATTTTAATAAAATTGTAAATAAAACAAAACAAAGATAGTCTCTGGTCACCAAAAGTGGGGCATGAGAGGAAAAGTACTCAAGTCCTAATTTTACAAGGCCTTTTGGCAAGGGGTTTGGATTTGATGGTATAAGTAATGAAGAATTTTAAAGACTTATCTATTTATTTAACAAAGAGAGCGAGAGAGGGAACACAAGCAGGGAAGTGGGAGAGG